CAGTGTTTCCTCCAGTGGCCAGGCTTGCCACAAAGAAGCGACTACTTTACCCTTCCCTATGCCCTCTCAGGCCCAAGCAACCTGTCTTTGGGCTTGGGCTTGGGTTTGGGTTTGGCCTTGGCCTTACCCTTGCCGTAACCCTTTGGTTTACTGGCAGTAACCAGCAAAACAGCTTGACTTTTCAAGTCCTGCTCTGCAGTCCTAAGCATGTTCAGAAGCTCTGACAGGGTTTTCTCCATCGTGTTCATATTGAATTCATTATGAACGGAGCATAAGTCGGCAAGGATTGTAGAATTATCCATTTGTAATTCTGCATCTAAGCCACATCCCAAAGTCTCAAGCCTCTATGTGCTCGATCATCTTGAGCCCATGAGGACCAACTTGGGCTCCCTCATCAGACGACTCCCAACAGTGCTTTCGACACCTTGTACCTCTCATGTCGAGCATTTGTTTCGTAAGCTCCTTGAATGTAGAATAATGGAAGAAGCATCCATATTCTCATGCTGCTTTTGCAGCATAGGTGTCATCGATGCTAACATCAAGCATTGAACCTATCACATCATCAGGAACTTTTGATAAGTATCCTTAACTTCCTGATGGCATCAGGATCAGGCTCAGCCATGTATGGCTTTTCAAGGATATACAATTTCTTTTCTGACTTGAGTATAATCCGAAGATTACGATACCAGTTCTGAGAAATTGGATCCATCCAACCTGTTTCTTTCTCGATTATCGGTCGCAGTTCAAATACTCATTTTGGTATCTACAATTGCAGAAAAGTAAAGTTAATATAAAGTTCATTGTTGTTTAATATGGTCTTTTATTAAACGATGCTCCCACTATTTTACTCAAGCCAATAGCCCTCACTATTAACTCGGAAAGCCCGTTGACTTTCCTAGTGGACCGAGATCCCATCCTGCACATTTCAAACCTTCGCTTTGGCGAACAAGCCAAATGAGTTGATTGGTAGGCCAACAAACTTAATCCACACACAGTTGATAGCTCCCACTATCAACCTCAAATGTGAGAAAGCCAACAAGCCAATCACACAATCCAATGGCTCCAACCATTTTCCTCAAGTATGATTCTCAGTATCAGTAGAGTGGACACTACATGTCACCACGTACACATAATACGTGTACTGCTCTACTATGCCTATACGCGTTTATCAACCTTCGCTTTGGCGAACACAAAACCGTCATTTTAAGTCGACCCATCACCATTAAGGAAAACTCCAATGTATTTTAACCCTCCACTGGTAGAAGTGTACCCTTCGCTTTGGCGAACAAGGTTTCGACGAATAGTGGTTTGATTAAAACCATGGTGATGGAACTTACGTACTTAATATATCCAGTTAGGGGGTTTGTTATTTAATGTCTCATCAGATTATTATTTTTGTTAGAATGACATTGTTTGCATGTTATCAACATTCAACCTTAGCATGCATTCTAAACAAAAATTAAACGTGCCGGTACATGGCCCAACTAAAACCGATTTCCTCAGCCTAGAGGAATCGTTGGGTCCCCTAGGGTCCTGTAATAAACATCTTGAGTGTCTTCAAGTATGGTTGTTTCGTCCTTTGTTTCGTCTTCAAGTACATTACAAAAACTATCACTCTAAATTTACAATAATAATTATACAAATTCTTTACATCAATAAATTTAGAAACCTCGATTTACATTTGAGGAATTAGATGAGAAGAGAATATACATCGAGAAGGGAGAAAGGCAGGACACGCAGGCCCTATTTAATAAATAATACAACCATACATACCCAAATATTTAAAACATTCACCCTTAGGTCTAAGGCTCATGTACCGGGCACCATGCAATATGCAAACTTTACAAGCAACATCAAAAACAATCAATTTCTGAAATTTGTGGTTTATTACAATTTACCCCTCAATTTGTAGATTTACTTTGGTCCAAAAGTTTTGAAACTTTCATTTTACCCCCTACACACTTGGAAGTGCGCTCGCTGCAGCGATGAGTTATTCGCCGCGGCGTGCATTGGTTTTGGTACAGCGCACGTCCGAAAGCGATCGCCGCGGCGATGGTTTATACGCCGCGGCGAGCGCTGTTTTCATACAGCGCTCGTCCAAAGGACGATCGCCGCGGCGACGACGATCGCTGCGGCGATGGATTATATCGCCGCGCGAGCGTACACAGATCTGTAGCTCCGGATCTGTTCATACAGCAACCAAAAACACTCTAACCGATTTTGCAATCATCAAACACATTAATCTCAACAAAAATCCATCATGCATAAACCAAACCAGCAGATCATCAACAATTAAATTAATCGATTATCAGTTTTTTAAAACATATTTCAAGACAGATTTCACAGATTCAATATGTCAACATATTATCATCAAATACATGTTATCAACCATACACATAAAAATTGTAAAATTCAGTACCCTAGGCTCTGATACCACTGTTGTAAACGGTCCCGTATACGCAGCGGAAACAAAAAAAATATAACAGGATCGTTTACATGAGCCAAGATCGGGTATGATTTTAACAATTTATATTATAAAACCTGCATAATATAACAACATGAGTTAAGGAAACAAACGCACATTGAAGGCTCCTCCAAATTTGTCGTCGAACGTTTTGCTACCGATCCAAGTGTAGATCGAACTTGCGTCGTCCACACGAAGACAATCTAAAAGAACCAAGAGGGTTTGCTAGATCCTCTTTGGCTTCAAGATTAAGAAGAAAAACAAAAATCAATTGATTGATTTTAGCTCAAAAGTTACTGTCGTGGGAGTGTATGATCAAAGAGGGGCTGCTTGTATTTTTGTTTTCAAAGAAAACTCCTTTTTCCAAATCACACACACTTTCCTTTTATATTTAAAACAATTTGCCCTAATCCCATACGGATAGGCTTGGGCTCCAACCCAATCGCCCCATGTTGCCAAACACTCTCAATTTGATTTATTTTAATTTCCATCATTATCTCAACTAAATCAATTATATATATATTTTAATATATATAACATTTAACAATAATGATAATATATTTAAATATGTGCGAACACAATTTAAACAGAATTTCACTTATTTATTTTTCTAACAAATTAAATAAGGCTACGACCTCAGCAAATTAATTGCATTGTAATAACCAAAATACCCTTTCGCCTTAAAAGACGAAAACGCCCTTCTTTTCTTATTACATCTTAAATTGTCTTCTATGTGTGTACCTTTAGGCTCCTCATCAATCGGCAGTGGTATAGTATTGCGATTAACACCAATTAATCGTCTCACTAATACACAGACCAAGATTGGCCCCTAGCAAGGCATCATGGCCACCCGATAGATTCGGATTCAGCAGAGTAGCTACCTATCAACGATATGGTTACCGTGCAATTCGATCCTTTCATCATACGTTATCTCGACGAGACGAAGGCATAGAAATAGTGTCAACCTTCGGTACTCTCGATATTATTTATTCAGTTTCGACCAATGACCCGTATTATAAACTAGATGAGCAACAACTCAATCCCACTGTGGCCACAGTTTTAGTGTCATTGCCATATACTGAATTGCGCCGTGAGATAACTTTCTCCCGTACCCGGGAGTGATAAATCCTCTGTCAATCCACCATAGTCTTGATACACTCCTTGATGCAGCCAATCACCACCGTATGACGCTCTGAAAAGAACTGCGTTAGGCTAGTTGTCAAACTACACCATCGGTGCCCAAGGCGCTCCGGCCTCAAGTCTAAGGACACATGCACTACCATCGTTAGAGGATTTCTTCCATAGACACTGGGGTTACCATCCATATGGAATCCTCTGGTGGGTCATCCAGTGAACTTGCTGTGGTGTAATCGCCTACAACAACACCCATGTGTTCACCAGGTTGTCACCAAACAACCTTGACAGAGTGAGATCTTCACTGCCTTCGACAGGGTCGTTCAACACTATGATAGCCTTCACCGTATATCTGTGCCCTTAGTTCAAAAATACTGGGGCTACGGACGTTTCTAGAATGGCCACCATATGTGCTCATAGGGTTCTCACTATCAAGATTTGAAACACTTGATACCTTCGTCAGGGCTCTACCATTCTAAGGACATATATCAATACATATTGCAATAATAATGATTTCCGCGATATAGAATAAAATGCCTTTTATTGATTAATGAACATTATTACAAGAGTCATTCTACATAATTGATTGGCTCTAGGGCACTACTCTAACAAGGGACTGCCAAAACAGGCACCTCGGTCTTTGCCGCTTTAAGAGTTTCAAAAGCCTGCTGTGCTTGGTCATCCATGCAAAAGATCCTTTCTTAGTATTGTGTTAGGGCTACGCGATTAAACCATAATTCTGCACAAAGCGGCGGTAAACCGATTAAGCCCAAAAAACCCCGTATCCTTTGATGGTGCGTGACGGGCCAAGATAGCATTGAATCAATCTTTTGTGGTTCAGCCTCTACCCCTTTGCTGAGATTAAATACCCAAATACTCCAGTCTTGGACGGGCAAATAGACACTTCTTGTAATTGATAACCAATTCGTGCTTGGTGAGAATCTGAAAGGTGTTTCGCATGTGCAGCAGATGGGTCTTCAAATCAGGGCTGTAAATCAGAATATCGTCAAAGAATACAAGTATAAACTTCTGCAAGACTGATTTAAAAATATTGTTCATTAAAGCTTGAAAAGTGGAAGGGGCATTGGTCAACCCGAAGGGCATGACTAGGAACTCATAGTGCCCTTCGTGGATTCTAAACGCTGTTTTGGGAACGTCCTCATCTTTAACCTGAATCTGGTGGTAACCTGATTTGAGGTCCAGTTTTGTAAAAATGGCTGCCCCTGATAGTTCGTCCAACAGTTCATCAATTGAGGGAATTGGGAATTTGTCTGGAATAGTTATGTTATTAAGTGCCTGGTAATCGACACAAAATCGCCAACCGCCATCCTTCTTTTTTACCAATAGAACCGGACTAGCAAAAGGACTTGTGCTGGGTCGTATAATTCCTGCCATCAGCATCTCACCTACCAACCTTTCAATTTCAATTTTCTGGGTAAATGTGTATTTGTACGGGCGGATGTTGGGAGGTTTGGTATTGGTTTCTAAAACTATGGCGTGGTCAGTGGGTCTTTTGGGTGGGAGTGTATTTGGCTGTTCAAACAGATGGCTAAATCCATCAACAACTGCTGCGGCTGCGAGGTCCATGGGTTCCTCTGTTTCCTCTTCCTTAACACCAATGGAGCATAACTCGACCACATATCCCGCATCCTCTCTCTGCAAGGATTTCAGCATTGCCCTTAGTGATACCACTGTCTTGACTAATGATGGATCCCCTTGTAGAACCACCCTCTTCCCTTCACTGAAAAATTCCATTGTCAGATTTCTCCAATTTGCACAAACATCCCCCAGTGTACTAAGCCAAGAAATTCCTAGCACTACATCTGCTCCTCCTAACTCAAATGGAAAATAGTCCTGGCACAATTCAATACCTTGCATTCGCAATGGCACTCCTCTGCAAATTCCCTTTCCTCTAACTGTAAATCCGTTTCCCACCATCACCCCAAAGGATTTACGTCTCTCTACTGGTAGCTCTAATTTTCGCACCAATTCATGCGAAATGAAATTGTGGGAAGCCCCACTGTCAACCAAAACAATCAGCTCTGTCCCTCCAATCACCCCTTTTAATTTTAGGGTTTTATCAGTGGTTACCCCTACGATTGAATGCATGGATAAGGCCAATGGATTACCTTCGTCGGACATTTCCGAGGTGGGTTCAGGACTGCCGTCATCGTTTTCTGCCCTGTCGTCGTTGGTCACTACCAGTATCTGGATCGATTTGCTCCAACAACAGTGATTTGGCCCATATTTCTCATCACAACGGAAACATAACCTTTTTCTAATTTTTGTTGCAGCTCGGCGTCTGACATTTGCCGAAAATTATCCCTGCGGACGTTCTGCGTCGTCGCGTCGTTGCTTAATCGATTTCTGTCGTGAAATCAATTTGGGGAAAATTAGGGATTTAGATCTGCATTTCGCGATGGGTTAGTCCACCAATTTGGGCGACTGGGTTCCGGGTTTGGGCTTGGGGTGACCCGAGTGTAATAATCCAGTTTGTTTCCTTGGGCTTTAGTAAATCTGGCCCGGTTTTTGTCTAAAACCCAATTTCGTTCCTCCACGCGATGCGCCTGATCCATCAAGGCAAACAGAGACGTGGGCTTCGTTAGGCGAATTTCATCTCTTATTTCCTCCTTTAACCCATTTGCAAAAACCCCCATCAGAATGTCTTCTCCTACCTCATGCAAGGGTGGTGCGTGAGCTTCAAAATTTTCCCTGTACTCCGTCACTGTACCCATCTACTTCAGAGCTACCAAAGCTTCATAGGTTGAGCCCTTAAATGATGGTCTGAACCTCTCCACCACTGCAGTTTTAAAATCTGTCCAAGAAACAATGGGTGCTCTAGACTCCACCCACTGATACCAGTTCAGGGCATGACCTTCCATACACACGGCGGCTGTCGCCACCTTTTCTTCCTCCCCATATTGATTCACCGAAAAATATTGGTCAGCTCTGAATGTCCATCCATAAGGATCTTCCTCGTTGAATATGGGTAGTTCCAACTTCTTCACCTTTGAGTTCTCTCCCTCCTTGTTCCTATCCACTCCCCTACTGTCACTACTGTTGGAAGCTTCACTGTTAGATTCTTTCCCCTTATCCCGGCTCAGATTTGCATCCTTCTCCTCCTTAAACTTCATCCACTCATGAAGCTCTAGTAAGTAGCACTTAATACTCCCTAGTTCTTCCTTTACAGTTCCCATTTCCTTCTTAACGTTCCCCATTTCCTTTTCCAAACCTTCCATTTTGTTCTCCATCTTCGATTCAACCATTACCCAATGAAGCTCTGATACCAATTTGTTAAGACTCCCTGCACTATCAACCAGCAAACACACAAGCAATCCATAAAACAGAAAGTAATATACTTAATGAAGTCTCAACAAGATTATATTACTGAAAAATAGAAGAATAACCAACAATGTATAAAACACCAAACTGATAGATCCCAGCAATTCAAGGAGCTGGGGACCTCCCTCAATGACAATAGCCTAAAACTTGATAATACTCCAGAACAGACCCCCTCTATTTAAACTATCTTCTTAACCACCTATTCTATACTAACAACTTTGATTCTCCACTCACGTGACTGTAACAGACTCTCCAAACAACCCGGCACCTCACACCCTGCATTTACTACCTCAAATGTCTCTTATGCCCTTTATATTGATAAACATGATTAATGGGAGGTCTATCAGTGTTTAAGTAGAATTTTTTTCTTTTAGGAATACAATTGAAAATATGATTATAATTGTATTAGGAATTAAAATATAATTCCTATTAGGATATGAGATTTGAGTCTTATTAGGAATAGTGTCTCATGTATTACCTATAAAAAGAGGTTAGTTCTAGAGTTAAACATCACAAATTGAATAGAAGGTAAAGCCACAATTAGAGAGTGAGAGCCATTAAATAGGGTTTAGTGAGTGAGCCAATTTGTGAGGCTTGTGAGAGATTCTTGTTGTTTCTTTCTTCTTCTTCGTAATGAAATTCCATAGCAGCAAAATGGAGGTAGCCTTTTACAGAAAGTGAACCACTATAAACCTTGTGTTTGTGTGTTGTTATTTTGTGTCCTTTGTTTGCACTATTTTTCGCTTTTAAGGATTTAAGATTGGCTAGTATCCAATTCAATCCCCCCAATAATATGCATCTATATTGCGAGCAACTGGCATTGGCCACTACGGTTTCACAATCAAGTAACAAAGCAATTGTCGTCCTGTATAAACTTATCAAACTTTTGCAAGCTTCTTGTTTGCAGGTTACAACATACGAAGAGATTATACCATTTTAAGTAGACAAGATTGGGATCAATAGGGTGGAAAGCTAAAACTCTCATATCCCACAGATTATGTGGGTAAATATTGTCCTCCAATTTCCATTTGTTTGCCTTGTGCTCCGATCTAGAGATGACAATAGTACCCGGATTGTTGGGTCCCAGCTCGATTCGTAAGGGCTGGGGATTCCCCACTGTTTGTGGCGATAGGCATGGGCTTGGGGACGATTTTACGGCCTGGCCCGACCCAATAGTATTATGTTTTCTTGGGTGAAGTTTGTTTCAAGGAATTATGCTTTAGCAGGTGATCTACAAATTAGTTTGTTTTAAGGAAAGTTTTATCAAATAATGTCTTAATCTAATACATATAGCCAAGGTGATTAAATCCAAACCTTTTGTTTTAGAAAGACTTATAAAAGTAGTCAGGATTTTGTAAATAAAAAACTTAATTAATTAATAAATAAGGTAGTATATTATTTTTGGGTCACTATGGTTAATGACTTGCTAATTTTGTAATTTTACGTGAGTTGGTTGAAAGGATTAGAATTTTGAATATACAAAACCATAAGCTAGTGAAGTTTATATAATAATCAAAGTTTTGAATAACTTAGCTTTGCCTTGGAAAACTTTACTAAATCAAATACGAGATTTACATTTTGATATAATTACACTTGAGAATCTACGAGGTTAGAGAGTGTTAAAATTTATATTATTCTAGATAAAGAGTTGTGTACAATCTCTCTACAGAAAAAACATTATAGAAATGAATACATAATGAAACTGTTAACCATATTATAAAAAGGAAAATGGTTATAAAATATTACAAGTTTCAAAATTGAGTGGTATTGTAATATTTTATCAAAGTGATGGAGAACATTTTTTAAATGCTATTATAATAAAAGTTTATATTTAATTAAATTTCAATTGTATATGCTCTATGTTACACATGTGATTTGCCTATATAAGTATATTAATATGTAAGAGGAAAACCTTTAAACGCTTTTAGAAGAAATGCTTTATAAATCATTATTGATTTAGAGCATATTTCATTGTTATTTAGAACATACCATGAAAATATGTATATATAGCCGTTACTATGAAAATTCAATCCAAATAATCTCGGGCAGGGACTTGGGGTTGTAAAATCCCTGCCGGACCGGACCGGGCATTATCGTCATCCCCATAATGGGAACGGGCCATGGTCATGGGAACAGGCCCGGGCCTAGAGAAAGGGGTCCCTGGTCCCGGCCCAGCCCATTGCCATTTCTAGTCTGATCTTCATTTGCCCGCGTTGTAATCATCGAGTTTCCAAACACTTAGTCGTACAGATTATGATCATCATTATGATTGTTTACTCCTATATCCGCAGTCTCTCTCCTCACACGCCAAAGCATTTGCATAAGGATCCTTCTGCATAGTTGGTAGATCAATGAGGCGAACTTCATTGGCTAACGGCCGGATGGTATGCCACAATAGCAAATGCATCTATACTGTCCAACCAATGCAGGGTTTTACTGAACACAAAACCATCATCTTGCCATAGCCAAGTATTCAACTTCCGGGGGCATAACACCTCAAATATGCTCCACTTACCACTCTTAAGAACAGAAAACATCCATCTTCAACTTATCAGAATAAGTATTAACACATGCCATTACCACTATTTTTTTTATTTGCACCGAATATCGATAATCCTTTGGGGATAGCTGATGAAGCTGACATTCATCTGAGAGATTCTAGGAGGAGGAAGAGGAAGCTTCAAAGGTTGTTAGCAGTTGAATTGCAGATATAGAAAACACATTGAGAATAGTCGTAGCACAATATATAGTAAGTCTTTGGAATGTGCTTTTACATATAATCGCCCTGGACGTTCTTGTTGGGAAAATTTGAGCATGTGATCAGGAGAGATGGAAGAAATTGATTTGCGATTGTGATATACGAGGGAATCTCTCTCTGTTGAATACTGGAACAATAAATCCCAGCTTTTTTCTTGGTGGTGGCTGTGAAGAGATGAGACGATACCAGTTTATGTCATGTGATGCATAAAATAATAAAGCTGGTATCGTCTCACCAGAAAAAGCAAGGATAAGAGATGAGACGATACCAGTTTTTACAGACTGCCATGCATTGAACAAGAGATCTCGATGAGAGTTTATCAAAAAATTTAAACAATAAATCATCTGAAAGTTTATTGGTAAAATTTGTTCTTGTCATCCCAGAGATCTTCTTTAGGTTGATGTTAGTAAAGTTTGAAAGACGTAATTAGGCTTATATAATTTTAAGGATTGCGAATAATAAATAGTTGGTAATGGGCCGAGTTGGAGAGGTTTCGTGTAGTGTCTTAATCGTTTTGGGTTATTAAATTTAGCCCATTAGCTTAGTGGATCTAACTATAAAAATCTAAATCCAAACATTATTTTAAGGTGTTAGCCAACCCAACCTATTAAAACCTCACTTCATTGTAGCAATCAGTGGAATTATGTATTTTCTGAAAAGGAAATAAACAAGGGAGAATGAGATTCCCCACCCAAGGCTTGACCAAACTATCTTTCCCTCCCGTTAAGTTTCAAAATGACACTTTTCCACCCACCGTTATGTTATGTTAGAAAAATTCATTACTATTTAACTATAAAGATGATAATACCCTTAATTATTTGACTTAATCATTTTTTTTTACTATTTATGTCATGTCAACAAAGTCAATTACCAATATACCCTTCTTTAGATATGAAATTACTAAATGCCTACTAATTTGTCCCTCTAGTTTTTTTTATTACAAATAATGTTTTAAATCACCGTTAGATTTTTAAAATTTAAAACCTTTAAAATTACTAGTTTGTCCTTATAGCTGCTACAAACCTATTTATATTTAAATTTTCTTAATTTAAACCTAAATAAAACCAAGTAACTAACATTACCAATTTGCTTAAATAAGAATTCAAATTGTAAAATTACAGTGCATATATAAATAATAAATTTTGTCAATTCAAACCCAATAAAAATAGGGAATTCAATACAAAGAAAGCAGCTTTTCCGGTTTCATTCATTTCTTAAAATCCAAAAAGTTTTGCTTTCACCCTCCCACTTTCTAGCTCTTTAAAGCTTGTTTTTCCTTTGCTTTCTGGATCTTCAAAGCCTTGTTCACAATCTTTTGCTCTTCCACCAAGAACGCTCGAATTTGATGTAGTATTTTCAACCGAAGTTACCATACAACTGCCTTAGGAGGGTATTCTCCATTTAACTTAGCGTCAATGCATTACTTCACCTTATCTTCGCTGAGTTTTGGAGTAACCTGAAACAATCCAGAATTGCATAAAAATAAGCTTGAATAAAGCTCACAAATATATGAATTTGCTATCTATCAGTATAGAGAATAACAAAATAGAAAAAATATGTACGTTCCAAAACGAGTTAGTTAGCAACGGAAGAATGAGGGTAACTTTTTTATTTTGAAAATTGAATATCATCTTC